GATATTTATTTTACACAACAAATATTAATTTAATCTTCATTGTCAATTTACCTAATTACATGCGATTATTACCGTATATAACCGTGTATAAGTCGACTTTTATGTATAAGTCCAACCACTGATTTTTTTTTACATGGATTTTAACCCTTCCAAAACAAAAAAAATACCTTTATATAGTACAACTGGTCAACGGAAATACATAATTTTAAAATCTTAAAAAAAAATTATCTTTACTATTTTTTGGCGTAAAACCCGATAAAAATTCGAACTATATTCGAGTGTATACGGTAATCACATTGATCTGTCACTGGATATTTAACTTTTACATCAAATTTCATTTAATAAGTACGTAGCAGGCAGCAGACTTTCAGATTTGCTCTCCTCTCATATACGAGGGTCGGTGGAAAGACTGATCAACATATGAACGTAAGTAGATATACCAGTTGGTAGATAAAAAGTCATGCAAATGGCCGACTTTGTCTTTTAGTCTACCAACGCGTGTGTATTTACATTTGTGGGAGAATTAAGATATGATAATAATAAATAAATAAAGAATTTCATTTTCTCATGAGGCAAAAAAAAAGTTTCCGGTCACGTGTGAATTTTATAACCCGACTTCCGGAAAAGACATGCTCGGTTTCTTTTCACCTCTGAACCATTGAATTCGGACGTGTTCAGTAGCCGGGCCAACGAAGGGGAGATTCGGTCATCCTCACTCAACGGCAGACTGACTTGATCAATTTGAGGTTTATCATTCTCTACACATTCGAATCTTTGTACCTAAGTGCGCCAATAAACATTATGCGTGTGTATGTGTGCAGGATATTAAAAAATTGACTTCGAGACAAAAAACTCCGTTTTTCTTTTCTCATAATATATGTGAAGGAGAAGACAAAGTTATGATTGATGGTAGAAATTTGATTTTTCAAGGTTATTAAAATTCCATTGAAATTTGAAGAGAAAAAGTCAATAAACAATAAAAAAATCTTTTATCAGTAAAGAATACCTTATGACGTCAGTAGCCCTGACGTCATTGGAGTAATTTATTAGCTTATTGTTATCAAGTCGTTCTATCAGGAGATTTTTGTGAACAAATGTGTACGCTCATGAAACAAGTTTAGAATGTTGGCTGTGTATGTCTGCATATCTAAGCAGGTGTGTAAGAGGCTCTTTTTTCCGGTTGATTGGGATTATCTGCTGAATTAGTGTATGATTCTTAATCAATACTTATTTACGTTTGAAACTATCAATCTTTAGTCATATCTATTTCATTCGCAGTTTTTTTAAAATGTCTCTCTCGTGTGTGTGAGTATACACACGCGCGCGCACACACACACACACACACACACAACAGTTCAAATTTTTGGGGAATCCACTGGTAAATTTTTAAATTGGCCCAAAGTTGATGTTTTGGAATTTAAGAAAAAATTATTATACGTTTATAAAAATAAGTGAGACAAGACTTTTTTTCTTTTTTTTTAGAAATTTTATTATGACAAAAAGAAAAGCATTTTATCAATCAATTTTGCTCTCGTCAAAATATCCTCCCTAGCCTTGATTACTGCAGCATTCACTGCAAAAAGTTTCAAATTATAAGTTTGGTAATTGATTCCATTCTTTTTTTCAATGGCTCTAAGATCTGTTTTTTTCATTTTTTTTTTGTTCACTCTTCGATTAAGTTCATCCGATGCTAATTCGAGGGGTTGCTTCAAACTGTAGTGTGTTTGTAAAATTACACACACACATATATATATATATATATATATATATATATATATATATATATCTCAGTTTGTGTAATTATCTACACAAGAGTGTTCATCTATCAGTCTGTTTCGGTTCGTACTCCTTGATCTCTGATTCCGTTTTATACTATTGTTCCTCCAATTTGAGCCACTCAAGGTAGAGGGTTGCTTAATGAAGTTGTTTTAAAGACGTACAATCAGGGAGAGTAAGATGTGTATATTATGAAGATTCATCTGGTACGATTGGTTGGAAGTAAGTGACACTTGAGATATCTTCACTGCTACTTCTGTCTTGGCAAACTAATGGACCAGCCCACCCTTTTGGCCAGCGAGAACTCCGACTATACATCTAACTGCGATTATCTCTTACTACTACTCTCATATATATATATATATATATATATATATATATCTATCTCGATGGACGGCTCGTAACTGGTTTCTGTCGAGTCTCTCCGACCGTTTCTGAGCTCATCTCTATATCGCGATGAACGATTTCTTAATTCGCTTACTCTAAACGGCTATTGAAATATGTGGCCCGGTTATATAAATCCACGACTGGAATTCCTTAACTTCTGGTCGAGTGGCACTTGATCCCAAAAGTTTTCAGTTATTCATATTATTAATTTCCATTTACCTACCTCCAGACAGCGAGTGATCGAATTGAAGCTATAAAATTGCATGAGGTCCAGATAAAATCATTTACAGCCAAGAAAACTATGCGTGTTCAGCCAATCTAACGGGAACGCATTGTGTGAAATCGTGACGAGTTAGATTAAACGATAGGACAATGAAAGGCAGCCATCCACATTTTAGGCCTTGTGCCAAGTTTGATACAATGTTCATCGAAAATATCTTAACATGATGCCTTAGAAAGAGGATATCTCGTTTTTTTCCTGTAATGTTGCATTGAACACAATACATTCCGTGTCCGGTCAGGACAAGGCGATCATGGCTCTCCACAACTTCATGTCCCTTGTAGCTCTGTCTTTTTTTCTCCTAAACTCTGCTCCGCCACACATTTATACAAGATCACTAAGTATGTTATGCGTTGTTTTCCTATCTGTCCCGTGAGTATCAGATTTACCAAGCCCTCTTTCCTCATTATGTGTCCTGGAAACCTCAACTGTCTCTTCCTAATGCTAAGTAGAAATTTTCTTTTTGTTTCCATTTTCTCTAACACTTTGTCGTTGCTTACGTGTTCGGTCCTCAGCATCCTTCTGTAGAACCACATTTCTGTTGCTTCAAGCCTCTTCGACATTTTTCAGGAGATTGTCCAATACTCACTACCATACAGGAGGACAGGTATCACGTAACGGTTTAGTACTCTTTTCTTTGTTTCTAGCGATTTTTTCTATTTCTCCGTAGTCTGCTTAGCTTTTGGAAGGCATCTTTTTCTATCCCAATACACCTTCACGCTTTACATCCTCTGTTAAAACACTTCTCAGATATTTAAATTTCCGCACTTGTTCGATTTTGGTATCACCGATTTGCAATTCGTACTCTGGGCTCAGTCTTTCGCTAACAACTATGCATTCTATCTTCTTGCAGTTGATGTTTAGTCCTTTCTTCTCGTTTTCCTTCACTATCTTTTGTAGGAGTTTTTGTAGGTTTCTTTCTGTGTATGTTACATACTGTGTCATCTACATACCTTATGTTGTTAGTTCTCTCAGAATTGCCTCGCTGTATAGGTTGAGTAAGTCCGGTGAGATGACACATCCTTGCCTTACGTCCATTTCTGTCTTGTATATCAGCTGATATTAAGTATAATTTCCTTTTTGTTTTAATTTTCTCTAAAACTTCGTCACATATTCAGTCCATCGTATTCTAAGCATCCTTCTGTAGAACCACATTTCTGTTGCTTTAAGTCTTTATCTGTGAGGACATTGGCCAGCATTCACTGCCATATAGTCGGACTGATATTACGTAATCATTTAGTACTCAGTTTTTTTAAGAAATTTTCACGTTTCTTAATTTTTTACTTACCTTTTGGAAGGCAACTTCGGATTTCAGTGTCGCACTTTTCGTCCGCTGTTAAAACATTTCACTAATTTGTAATTTGAATGTTGGGCTGTTCCTTTTCCTAGAAACCTTGCATTTTATCTTTGTTGCAATTGATGTTGAGCACTTTCTTCTCGATTTCCTTCACTACCTTCTGTAGGAATCCTTGTAGTTTCCTTCCTGTGTCTGCTATCAACACTGTCATTACTATCAATCAAACATCCATCACAGTTTAATCTATCTCTATCTATAAAAGGCAGGATGTGTGTGTGTGTGTGTGTGTGTAACGAATACACGGCCGCAATTTTCGACGGCTTTGCAACAAAATTTACATGCACATGCTCCAAGTTAGCGGAAAGGCCAAAACCGATTTTGTATTTCCCAACTCCCATCGATACTGCAAATGATCGATTTTTTCATGCTTCTAGGGCAGTTCTTATGAAGTTTGCGGTCATTTTGTACTGGCCAGAGTGAGAGCCTATAGCTGGCTGCCACGAATAGGCAGGAAGATTCTATTGACCAGCGTGAGAGCCAACAACCGACTAACACGAATGTTAACTAGCATGCAAAAATATCGATAGCTGCATTCGTCACAAGTGGGAAAAATTTAAATCTGCATGGCACTTTACTCCAATTGGCTCATTCGCTTGCTTAAACTCAACGTTGATTCTGATTCCGCAGAACTGGGTGGGTGTGAAAAAGTATTTGTTGTTAACATTCTTTTTTCATTTGGTTTTTCCAGTTACGAGTCCTTTTTTAAAGCTGATCGTTTGGTGTTCATGTTGTTTAGTTCTTTTTTCGTAACTGATTTAATGTTTAGTATAGAGCTTAGAAAAAATTCACAGTGTGAGATAGGCAAGAAGTAAGGCATGTGGCAACATCAGCACGGCAAAGGGCACTCCTTTAAAGGCAAGTAAGAGCAAAAATATTTTAAGTCAAGTGATACCGATTGCTGTATGAGTCGTACGATTTTCGAATCAAGCACGGGCAACGCCGGGCCATGCTGCTAGTCACTAATAATCGCAAAATATTTATCTGTATCTTCCCTCTTGAGTTTTGTATATGAATGGTGACTACATCGTAGTGTTGTATGGCGTGAAGGAACTAACAGAATTTTACATTAAATTTTGAAAACTGAAAGTTAAAATACGGCGTTTTCAAAAAGAAAAAAAAAAACTTACGTCTTCCAATCAAATATGCGTTATTGAACCAATGGATTTCTGCTCGTAAACTCACTTTTTATATATAACATACGGGTTCTCGATTTGCGTTTGTGTGCGTGCGTGCTAGATAAGAGCCAATCAGATTCAAGTCCCAACAGTAAAAGGAGAGAAAGAAGAGAGAAAACAGACGAGAGAATTTCTTCATTATGTCGACCTTTTTAACACTCTAAATTGTATTTTAATATTATTAGAAAATTTAAATCTTCTCATCCCATCCAAAGAAAATGAAATCTCAATTGACAGAATCAGTAAGGCTGTTCAGAGATCTCAACACACCGGAATGTATACCGTATTTTTCGGTGTATGACACGGACAGAAACTTTGGTAAAGCATTGTATATACTTGCGTATCATGCGACTTTCGAAGACCTAACTTTGAACCTAATTTTAAGGGGGTCGTATCATACAGATATGCCGAAAAATAGATGAAATGTCAGTTTCAGTTGCCGATCGTCAGGAATGCGATCAGCTGTAAGGGTCGATTCGTTGGTTGTAGGCCTGTTTTGTGAAAACGTGGCCGCGGTAACGACTGCAAAAGGAATGCCTGTAGCGAGGTGATGACGAAGCTGGACAGTCAACCGCTGCAGTGGATAGTGTTTGCTGAGGTGACGGCATTGGCGACGATAAAGGCTTGTAGCTGGGTGTGAACATGCTGAGAGTCAAGTAATTTGTCAAACCCGCGAGTGGTAACGGTCGTCGAGAGGAGCGGTTATGTTGAAAGGCGGCGGTAGCGGCAACAGAACAATGCCCTGGGTGCCCACCGAGTTTTGGCATCCTGGTCCGCAACTGCTCGGTACGAGGATTGAATATGGCACAGGGCCGGTTTAATGTGGGTATCTCCGAGCCCGTAGGCTCGGCCAAAAATATAGCCTTTGAACCCGCCTAGACGGGTTCAGGCCCTGTCTACCTCCCCGGACGAAACCTTGCCCTTCGGCAAAGCTTCGTCCGGGTTCCTCTCTGCTAATGCAGAGAGTTCGACAGGCGTCGCTTACAGTCAAAGACTGTATCACGACTCAGCTAGACTCGGAGGTCTTGCTCTCTTGTGAGTTTCTAAGCCCGGCTTAGATGTGGCACAAGGCCGAAAGTATGGAGCACCCAGTGAGGATTGAACTCACTACTCAGTCGTAATTGATCTAGCAAGACAAGCTTTCTAACCATTACACCACGTCGAGGTGCCCCTGGTCCGCAACTGCTCTGGTCGTTATCGGAAACCTGCTTTTAAGCAGATCTGGTAGTCCCCAGGGACATCTCCTTTTCCGGGCGGGAACGTTCCTGAGTGTTGCTTTCATTGCGGGGGCTTGCTTCGTAGACCGGATGTGATACTCAGAGCCTATGCTCAGAGAACGGCTTTTATTTATTTATTTATTTATTAAATGGCGTTCACATCCGGTCAGCATGCAGAATGAATCAGAAAGAGATTTAACTGAAATGGAGTATAACGGCGAGATATAAAATTAGCGTATATACTGTTGGCCCTGGCTACACCGCTGACCAAACTACATATCCAGTTACTTAGTCAAATTAGCTTCAATATTAGGTCTGCAAGGTCGAATGATACGTTGGTATATACGGTATTCAGCCGAAGATTTAACCCATATTTTAACATTCTGAATTTTGATCATAGATTAATCATATTTTGTTTTCATTGTCTTCCTCAAAAGACGAAATTATTAATCACTTTCATTGCTTTGACCGTCAGTTAAGACTAAAGTTCCCCAAAACCTCATATGGAACTGATATACACAACCATCGCTAAAGATGCTGGAAAAATGGTTGGATCCTTATACCATTCTAGAAAGTACCTGTCATGCTCTATTTTTACACGGATCAGATCACGTCACAAACTGAGTATTGCTACGATATCTGGACAGGAGGTACCCAATCTTCTCTTTCTAGCCTTGATAGCTAGCTAGCTCCTGGGAGGATGCTCGAACCCTACAATCTTAACGTCCTCAGACCTTGAGTTAACTGCTACCTACCATACAATTCTTACGTCCCTGAAACAGCTCCATTCCGTAAGCGTTTACCTAGGGTGACTTTTGGCCCGTGTGTTGGGTGAAAAATAACTCAGGAAAAATTATTAATCTAAAACAAAGAATGCAATCACCAAATTATAAGATGCAGATTGATTTTTGAAAAAAAAAAAAAAATACAGTATACGCGTTGGTGAAAGCTTAAGTGTATACATGCATATTTGAAAGAATCAGCGTCGGAATTAATTCAAAAATGTTTGTGATCGAATCCACCCCAAGCAATGCATTAAAGCCACTAAGATACAAGGGGTTACTAAGTGTGAAAGAATTTGAAAACAAAAAACAGTACAAAGGAGCAGGAACAATAGAACAGTAATGAAGGAGTGAGACATTGCATTTCAATTTTTGAAGATAAATATTATCCGGAAAGCATGGAACCGGAAGAGGGATCAACAATCAAGAAGTGCGGAAAAAAAAAAAAAAAAAAAAAAAAAAAAACTGTTAACATAGAACTTACGGCTACATCTAGCCAACTGTGATTATAAATTGATGAGACCTTGCTGTTAATCTAGTACTGTAATTAAATTAATAAAATATAGGTGCCATAGCGAAAAGATAATACGAAAAATTACCATGAAAGTATTTCTAGAAAAGGCACAGAAACGCAACTTTATGGCGTTAGGAAAGTGACTAAAGCCGAAACGTTTGGTCAGGGCCAATATTATTACTGATTCTTCCTTGCATTTTATCAATAATATCTAAATAAATAGCAGGAGCACCAGACCATATGTGGCAGCAATACTCTAAGCATAGACGAATGGTAGACATAGGTATACAAGATACTATTGTGGATATTTACTCGTCTGAACGATTATAGGTAATGAAAACGAACTGAACAAAGGGAGATCGAATGTTTTTTAAGTTCATATTCACACTAATACCTTTCGGAAAAGCCTAAATTTACTTCTTTCTAAGCACTGTTTATCAGCTGTCTTGATTGAATGCTGTATATATGGCATGTCAGAATACTTATATATAAGTGGACATTGAAGTCGACACCCAGAAGCGACAGTATGTTTCATGCTAAACGCAAACGTCAGGCCTATCGCCTCTGGGTGTTGACTTCAATGTCCAGTTTTATATTTACATACACTCGATCTCTGATATTGAGCACTTTAACCCATAAACATAGCATACCATAAGACTATATATATATATATATATATATATATAATTATGAAATGGATTAGGTCCGACAATTATTTAATATATTTTCTGCTTATACGTTATTTTTATAGATACAATTTTTTTAAGCAAATGCTGCTTTTTTACACTATTTACATTGCTCGGACTATCATCCTCATCTTTGTTGCCATACTTATCACAATGTTTCGGCCGTTGTACGCTCCGGCCTTCTTCAGGTGGTTGGAATGTCGAACTGAACCCTTTATTTCGCCCGCTGGAGTAGACTGTTCTAGTTCCACGTGCCATGTCTAATGGATGTCAGTTATCAGTTATCTCCTGTTAATTCCCCTCTCCAAGTTATCCATCGCCTTAATCAGGTATTGAACTCACACTCTTTGAGTCCTGTCATTGCATCTAACCAACGCCTTTATCTACTGTGCCATTTGTCCTTAACTGAGGAAAATTGAATAAAAATCTTAATCGCAGTACCTTATCAGTCGTCTTTTACGAAACCTGTGCCTGTGTAGTTGTTAAAGAAAGAAAACTCGTACGAACTTAATTTAAATTTATTAATTAATATTTTTCAACAGGACAATATTTTCCTTTGAGATTGTTTAACAAAAGGATTGTCTTTAGTGAAGATTGGGCAACATTTGAAATCCGAGCTTTTCTAATTCCGGAAGGGACTTTCTTATTGCTAACCTCGATTATTGAAAATGTAACCCAGAAAGTTGCAATGTCAAACTTCAAAATGTAGAAAGGCTGAGATTTGTTCTCACACACGCACACATATAACACACATACCTCGAGTAGTGCGACTATTACTATGATTAAAGTGAAGAATATCTTACTGGACTAATCGACTATTATGTATGCACTAATTGAATTTTGATATATAAATATTTTAGCGCACTAATCGAAAACACATTTCCGGTACACACACACACAACAAATATAAAAGCCCAAATTTCCATCTTGAAAAGAAAAAAAAATGAAAAATTTCATGAAACGGTAAATATCAACAATGGCTGTTATCTAGCTGACAGAAAACACAAAATTATTGATAAACGAATAAAATAAAATCTCAAAGCAATTTTATGAAAAATAGTTTAATCTTTATTCATTTTTACTTAAAAAAAAAAAAAAAAAAAAAAAAAAACCTCCAATTTTTTTTAAAATCATTAAATTAAATATTTTTCTAACATGGGTAGTTCACTTAAGTCAGTAAGAGTCAAAAGGGTCAATTTGTGTGGTGAGATGATATTTGTATTACTGGCTGACCATCTGCAACAAAAATTAATGTTGACAGCTCTAGACTGAATAGTTTCCGTTTGTAAATATGGTGGCCCATAATTATAAAAAAAGTCAATCATTTTCTTTTTAAACAAATTATTTTCAGTTTTTTTTGTTTTGTTTTTTTAAAATCAAGATTTTAATAGAACAGTCATTACATTTCACAAACCGGCGAAGGCCATAACAAAGATTTTAACACTTGTCGTTGCAACAGTATCTCATGTTAAAAATTCACGATGACAGATAAAATTATGAGAAGTTTAGATGTTAAATCCCTTTACACTGACGTTCCTGTTAACAAATGCCTCCATTTAAAAAAAAAAGCATCTAACACAATGCAAAATTAACCTCTCCCTACTAATAGCTAAAAATCATAAAATAACCTACCGAATCTTAACCAATGAATGCTATTAAACCTTTAACAATAATCTATACAAACAAAATTTCGAATTACCAATGGGTTCACCTTTGAGTGGGGTTTTAGCGTGTATTTTCTTTGAATTGCTTGAATCTGGTCTTTTCCAGAGTATTTTACCTAAAAAAAAAAAAAAAAAAAAAAAAAAACATATTTCCGATATATTGATAACGCTCAATTAATATATCCCCGCAAAACTACATTACCTGACGTTGTAGATAAAGTTCATTTACAAAACAGAAAGAATAACAATTTACCTTTCCTAAATATCATGATCTGTGACCGAGTGTCTATCGCAGAT